AGGGGGGGGGGGGGGGGTCTCCGTAGTTTATTAATTGAGCCGCAAGGGGGCGCATGAAACCACAAGTTTCTCTCAGTTCTGTACAGCTGTATGTTCCACAATGGTGTAATTTAGCTTTATCCACATGATGTAAATACAGTCTGTGTATGTGCAGTTGTACACGCAAAACTCATGGCGGCCATCTGTATATGTTGTTTTTACCCAGTACGACATCAAATCTGCCTTGATAATGCTAAATAAATGTTCACATTATACAAAAACCCTAAACAGAGGAAAAAAGATACACTGTCAATTAAGCAGCCAGTGCAAGTCATCCGAAGGTCCGTATAATCACGTCAACTATGATTGGATGATGTTCTTAGGTTTCCATTCACTTTCTACAGCACTTTCATATGCGTCTCTCTGATCTTTGATTGAATCTCCAGCAGCCAATGGCGTTGTTTCTTTCCAGACGTCCCCGTCTGTCGCCCCGCCTCTGCCCGTGACGTCACGGACCGTTTATATACGGCAGGTCTCCGGCGGCGCGGCATGTTTGACTCGCGCAGGATTAACGTAGCAGAACTTCGCCAGACTTTGGGACTTCACAGAAGGAGTTTATTTTCGAGGGCGAAGGGTCTATGTTAATGAATGGACCCTGCTTGTTTTACTTCAGCGCAGCGTCTTTCTTGTAAAATGATGAATCCGGATTTGTTCAAACCGTGTCAAGCGGCCGCCAAGCCGAACCGGAGTAACGTTAAATCCGAGCACGTTAAGACGGAGATCGCGCAGGTGGTGGTTGACGCAAAGACTGGAAGATCGTACTGTAAAGGAAAGCTTTTGGGAAAGGTACCAATCTGTTTTTCAGTGTTTGAAATAAATCGGAGCTGGGCATTTTAATTATTGATGTGATTTGTCACGGTTTATTTGATCGCATTTCCTGACGAGCTTAAACGTGCACGGTGCGCATTATATCGGTCTCGTGCTTGGGTTTGGCTGGTTTTGGGAGATGTGCTTCGGTGCACCAGAACCACTGGACCGCAGTGTCTGCGTTTCTAGAACCTGCCTGCCGGTTTTTCCAGCACTGCATCTTATGTCTTTCAAATATTGTCCATTGTGTGATTTTCTGCCAAGACAGTACATGCAGTTTACAATTGCGAGGATTTTTAATACGTTTCCAGATTTGATTCGATGTCAGGAAGAGATGAATGGATGAATGAATCCGTGCAGCAATGTAAATGATGCTACATTGCTCTTGAGCAGTGGAACCAATGACCACTGTCCCGGTTCTGTTCACTTGTTTACAAAGGCTCTTTTTTAATTAGACTATTGATTATTAGAAGTCTGGTTAATCCCAGTTTTTAAAGTGCCGCATCATTGTGCGATGCTGTAAGGAGGGGTTGGACAATTGGGGAAAGAATACGTCATTCCTTTGTACATGTGTTGGACCAACTAAGGATTGTTTATTGTAATATTATTCTAGTAATTAGGACCGTATAACTTAAGAGTGATAAATAAAAAGAAAACGTAAAAAAGTGCTTCTGAACCTATTTTTTTTATGTAATTATTGATTTATTGATTTATAACACCCATGTTCATTAAATGAAATATTGCTGTGATGCATTATTATTCAGATGTATGAATGGAACTAAACTAAACTGTGAATCAGTGTTTGTCAATTATAGTTACATTGCATTATATTTTCCGTCATTCCTTTGTACATGTGTTGGACCAACTAAGGATTGGTGCAAAAATGCCCAAAATAATGTGTTTGTTTGTTTGTTTGTTTGTTTTACGAGATTGGGAATATCGATGTATGTTTAAAAAAATCAAACATCGAATTTGTTAAACGAATCGACTAATAAACGTAGAATTTGCCTTATATAATAAATAAATAAAAAACCGGACAAATTAATGTTTTGTGCAGCTTTATGATGCATCAGATGTGACCGATATGGGGTTAACCGATAAATGGTAATCTCAAAAAGGAAAGGGAAAAAAAGCAACTACCAACAGCTGCAAAGCTTGAAGTTAATGGTAGATCTTTTAAAACGTTTTCTAATTCAAAAAGAAAAATCTGTGGTGCCCGATTTGATTTGAGATAATAGCCTTTTTTTTTCCAGTTAAAGCATTTGCAAAATGGATGACACTGTTTTTATATGGCGCAAAGGGTAAAAATGCCCATAAATCAATTCCAGATTGCAAATACTGGTCTGGACGTATTGACTGTCTCTGGACTCCATACGGCATTCTTGACATTAGTGATGCTGAAAACATATGAATCAAACGTTAAACACACTGGTAATCTCCAAATATGTTGTCTTTGTAAGCAACTAGCCAGTTTTTCAGCCACAGTCATTGAGTCTTGAGACCGTTGTACAGGCACCTGCAGCCAAATCTTAAGTTAATCATAACCTTGAATTGAAACAGCAGCATTTTTTTCCCTGTTGAAACATTCTGTGACTAAATATATAATGGCTTTTGTTTTAGGGTGGTTTTGCACGATGTTATGAGATGACGGATCTTGCCAACAACAAGATGTATGCTGTGAAAGTTATTCCTCAAAGCAGAGTCGCAAAGCCACACCAGAGAGAGAAGGTAAACAAGCCATAGCCAAATACACATGTGAATCATCATATTTCTAGCTGCCTCTCTAATGTTTATTCAATGATTTTGTCTCGTAGATCATTAATGAAATCGAGCTTCACAAAAGCCTCCAACACAAGCATGTGGTGAAGTTTTCCCATCACTTTGAGGACCAAGACAACATTTACATCTTCCTTGAACTCTGCAGCAGAAAGGTGAGTTGCTTTGCTAAAAACAGCGCTCTCGTGGTTTGCTTTGGTGAATACAAGGCATTTACTCTAATCCTGTGCATCTTCCTTGAACTCTGCAGCAGAAAGGTGAGTTGCTTTGCTAAAAAACCGAGCTCTTGTGGTTTGCTTTGGTGAATACAAGGCATTTACTCTAATCCTGTGGTTCATGTTTACAGTCGCTGGCACACATTTGGAAAGCAAGACATACGCTGACAGATCCAGAAGTACGTTACTACCTCAAACAGATCATATCTTCGCTCAAATACCTCCACAACAAAGGCATCCTCCACAGAGACCTCAAACTAGGTATTGTTTTTGTTCGTTTAGCCTGCTGTTTGAATCATAGTATGACATCCATCAAGTTCAATTGGTTTGACAATGCTCTAATTTGTTGTTGCAGGTAATTTTTTTGTGAACGAAAACATGGACTTGAGATTGGGAGATTTTGGGCTGGCAGCAAAGCTGGAGACAGTCGAGCAGAGGAAGAAGTGAGTTTGCATGCCGTCTTCAGTAACTTAAATAGAAATAAACTTGATTTGGTGTGCTAATGTAAAAAATACTCTTGCAGGACCATCTGCGGGACTCCAAACTACCTAGCACCAGAGGTCTTAAACAGACAAGGCCATGGGACAGAGTCAGATGTTTGGTCGCTGGGTTGTGTAATGTAAGTCTTATCACGTCTACTCTACACTGTTTTATGGTTATTGTGTAGACCAGGTTTTCCCAAACTGTGTTTTGCAAGTTCATGAAAGGCTAATAATTAAATTATAAATCCTCATTTAAAAATAAAATGCATTCTAAAAATATTCAAGATTTTGTTTACCTGCATCTCATGTGACCATTAACCATCCTCAGAAAACCACAGACATCAAGTTAATATTTCAAGTACATGTTTTAGAGCAAAGGGGTTCATCTGACAAACAAAAGATTGGGACTTCCTGGTGTAGACTAATATATTATATTAATGTATTTATATTATGGAAAGTCCATAGTAAATACTTGATTTATGCTGCATCAGATCTGACAGCCTTGATGACGAGCTCTTTTTCTGGTCTATTTAGGTACACACTCCTTTGTGGGAATCCACCTTTTGAAACCTTAGACTTGAAGGAGACCTACAAGTGTATTAAGGAAGTGAGATACAGCCTTCCTCCTTCCCTCACTCCCTCTGCACAGAAGCTGATATCCGCAATCCTTCAGAAAAACCCGTCTGACCGCCTTACACTGGATCAGATACTGGCCCACGAGTATTTCACAAAGGTTAGCATACTAATAGCCTGGAGTAGTCTTTCGCCTTTTCCTTGTAACGTAATTATAAAGATTTTTTTTTTTAAGTGTGTACTTCCTCCTTAGACAGTTTCTTACTGTAATTTTGTAGTCCTCTAATCTTTTTTTTTTTCCTTAAATCCACCTACTTTTTCCCTCCCTCAGGGCTTCACCCCAGAAAAACTCCCTCCCAGCAGCTGTGTGATGGTGCCTGAGCTTAATCCACCCAGCCCTGCCAAGAAGTTCTTCACCAAGATGGCTAAAAGCCTCTTTGGCAAGAAGAAATCGAAAGGTATGTACCTACTTTAATTACCAAAATTAGTTTAGTTGACAATAACACCATTGGTTTGGATTCAAACCTTAGTTTCTGACATTGGTTTCTTTGTTATTGACATAAAATGTCGTTGCAGCTGTTGAAAAGACACCTTGTGAGGAGAAAGATGACATTTCTAAACTGGTTTCCGGCATGGTGAAGCACTCCATCGGTCGGCAAATGAGCTACAAGACAATGGGAGTGAATGAGGTAATAATTCATCTTACATTTATGTGCATTGGCATGTATTAATAGCTTCGCCGTAAACTTTTGCTCCCCGGCTGACTCATGGCTGTCGCAGAAAGCTGCGTCAGTATGCATGCTGTTTTTCAGCATAGTTAAAGTGGGCTCTGTGGGGACGTGTTTTGAAAGCTGCTGTAGATGAATAATAGAGTGCAATCGTCCAGCTATTGTGCTGAATGTCTCAGAATAACTCTGTACTGACCAAACCCAAAATTGCAAAACCAAACCCTCACAAGTCACAGAGTTAATCACATGACAAATAGATCTTTTAAGCTTGAGACACGAGGTTGGAAAATAATTGTCCACTGTGCATGATGATAATTGCTTAACTGAGTACAATGAAGTACTTATGATTGTTAAAACAATATGACTTCCTCTTGATACTCAGGCCACTTCTCCTACGGTTCAACTGGCAAGCTCTGGCCCCCTGGACACCCCGGCAGAGGAGGAGTCCAGGAAGTCTGCGTCTCGTTCCTTCAAAGGCACCGTCGCCAGCAGCACTGATGGTAAGGGACCGTAGAAGCTAATTTGCTCAGACATACAGCAGCAAATAGTTTTGCATGCATGTGGCCTATTTTAGGCTCAACCCCCAGGCTTTCAGAGGCCGCTATTAGGAACAAGTTTGTCCAAAAGCATCCTGGCCTAATTCATTTTTATTTTTTTTGCTTAGTTTAGCAGCAAGGTGACTTGCCATTTCTACCCTTCATAGATTTGTCTACCTTTTTACATTTACACTACGAATCAAAAGTTTAGGGTCATGGTTTTCTACAAAAATATTAAGCAGAACAACTGTTGTCTATAATATAATATAACCAAGCTACACTAATATTAAATGTGTATGTATGTATGTGTGTGTGTATATATTACATATATAAATATATTATGCATGTATACCCACCCCACAAGTAATTAAGTCACTTTCATTTAACTTTTGCTCTTTTTGTTTTTTTTCCCCCTCCTCAGCTAGTGACGATATCCCTACCCCTGCTGCTGTGGCCGAATCTGCCATGAAGGTTCTTAACAGTTGCTTGTCTTCCATGCCGACAGGTTTGTTCCCACACTCTGGTCACACTGTGGCGCTTAAGCAATGGTCCTTTTCAAGGTTTACTCTTAAGCCATTGATCATGTACTCAAATATTGTCCTTTCCTCTTCCAGCTTCAAGAAACCCACCCTGCCTTTCTAAAATCAAGCCTTTCATCTGGGTAACCAAGTGGGTCGACTACTCCAACAAATACGGCTTCGGTTACCAGCTCTCCAATCAAAACGTCGGTGTACTCTTCAACGAAGGCACTCATCTGAGCCTGTGTGACCAGCGGCGGTAGGTTCGCTTACTTTGTGTTCCCGTTCACTAATGAGTCTCCAGTTTGGCATTTGGACTGAGCTCTGATTGACCCACATAGAGTGCTTTACCCTTTACAAAGTCTTTGCTTTTGACCAAATTGTTTTAAGAAGCTTTGCTTTATGTGATGTTCCAATTGCTTATTTTTATTCTTCCGCAGGACTGTACATTACTGTCTGACGAACAACAAACACTTTAGTTTTCCAGCTGACGCTTTACCAGAAAAGCTCCAGAATCAAAAGCACATAGTGGATTTGATGGCTAACTACATGGAGCAGAACCTAATGGAGGTAAGTGTAGAAATGAGCTCTTAAATATAGAATTTAGACATTTGTGACCCTCGACCACGAAACCAGTCATGAGGGTCATTTGAATTATGTGATTCTCTATTAAATAACTATTTTTAGTGGTAATATTCTATAATATAATATAACCAAGCTACACTAATATTAAATGTGTATGTATGTATGTGTGTGTGTATATATTACATATATAAATATATTATGCATGTATACCCACCCCACAAGTAATTAAGTCACTTTCATTTAACTTTTGAAATTGAGATTTATACATCATCTGAAAGCTGAATATAAATAAGCTTTCCATTGATGTATGGTTTGTTAGGGTAGGACAACTATTTGAAAATCTGTAATCTGAGGGTGCAAAAAAAATCTAAATATTGAGAAAATAAAGTTGTCCTAATGAAGTCCTTAGCAACGCATATTACCAATCAAAAATTACTTTTGGATATATTTACGGTAGGAAATATACAGAATATCTTTATGGAACATGATCTTTACTTAATGTCCTAATGATTTTTGGCATAAAAGAAAAATTGATAATTTTGACCCATACCAAACAATTGGCTATTGCTACAAATGTACCTGCGCGACTGGTTTTGTGGTCCAGATTCACATTTGAATTATGTGATTCTCTATTAAATAACTATTTTTAGTGGTAATATTTTAAATCGTTTATTTTCTAAAATATAAACTAAACTAAAGTTCAGCACTAACCTTTATCAAGTGAAATTCTATAAAAAAATTAAATATTTTATTCATTTCTATTATTTATATTTTTATGTAAATTTACCTAATAAATCAATCATAAATATGTACAAAAATAAAACAGTTTCTTAAGTTTTATGGTTTATTTTAAAACAAATTTTAATTTTTGTAGGGTGGAGACGTCAACTGTGAGGCCCAGCCACCTCCAAGCTCTTCTCCATTGCTTCTGCAGTGGATCAAGACTGATCACGCCTTAGTCATGCTCTTTGACAACCGAACCCTACAGGTAAGTCTCTGATTTTGCAAAAAAAGGATGAAACATTGAGCATTTGAATTGCTTGGCCAGTTCATAACATTCCCTCTCTTTCCGCTTTCTTTCCCAGGTTAATTTTTACACAGACCATACAAAAATCATCCTGTCCAAGACTTCGGACTCCTCGTACTTGCTGACCTACATCAGCAAGGAGCGCGTCTCTTATTCCTACCCTCTGAATGTGCTTTCCCAATGGGGCTGCTCTCCGGAGCTCCGGCAGCGGCTTCATTATGTGGTACAGCTTCTCCAGCACTACACCAACGCATAATGACTAAGAACTTCGATTACGACTTGCTGCTTACCGCTTCCGTTTGAGAAGCAAAAAAGGACTATGACAAAGAAAAAAAAATCGGGGGAAGCTTCCACGTTGCCATGAAGATCTCCTGTCCTTGGTCATCGACTGGCCTCTTTGAACTATGGTGCACTATTTTTCGTTTGGTTTTTAGTTGTTTTTGCGACCAACCGTATCACACTACCAGCTTGACTCACAGTGTGCACAACCAAAATTTGAGCTTGTTCTTTTTATGATTTCATTTTTTTTAGCTGGACTGAAGTGCAGATGGCAAAACTCACAGGGTTCTTAAGCGTCTTGCTTTTGCTCGCGATGTCCCAAACACTGCGCAAGATGAGCTTGACTTTTTATGCTCGATCACTTGGCCTTTTTTTTTTTTTTTTTAAAAAGGACATTTTATTTCACTAAATAGTACACAAACAAGAAGAGCTACGAACACCAAATGGTTATTCTTTTAATGAGATTAGTTTTAAAGATGGCAGAGGTGAATGGCTGAGGTGGAACTGTAATTCATGGAGGAGCAGTTAGGATTGGGAGAGACTAAAGTGCCTTTCTGATGGATTCCTCTGTGCAATAATGGCCCTGGATCTCAAGCTTAAGTCACAAAGGGAATGAAAGGGGCTTTATAT